GAAAGAAGGGCTGCTTATGCACAGGGAGACAGCTCAGGGGGCAGGAGTACATGGAGGGATGGACACAGGGAAGAGGTAACTATTGGGAGGAAGTGTGAGGGGAGATGTTGCATTGTGGTAAATTGTGGTCAATGTCATTAGACAAAGTGTATGTGAACTGCTGTATGGAAAGTGAATTTGTTCTGTAAATTTTCACCCAAATCACAATGAAAAAAGAAAACAAAACAAAACAAAAAGAATCATGTGGGATACCATCAAAATGTAATCAGGATTCCAGAATAGGAAGAGGAAGATAAAACCACAGAAAAAATTTTCAAATATTTTTTGGAAGAAAATTTCCCTAGTATGATGAAAGATGAGAATATATCCATTCAAGAAGTCCAACGAACCCCAAACTGGATAGATTCCAAAAGAAAATCACCAAGACATATCATCAAACTCACCAAAACCAAAGGAAGAATTCTGAAAGTGACACAGGAAATATGAAAAGTTACCTACCAGAAGCAACCAATAAGGCTAAGCTCAGATTTCTTGGCAGAAACCCTGAAGGCTAGAAAGAAGACCATTGGGATGGTATGTACAAAACCCTGAAAGAAAAAAATTTCCAACCAAGAATTACATATCCAGAAAAATTGTCCCTCAAATATGATGGTGAAATTAGGACATTCCTGGATAAGCAGTGTGGTGGTTAAGTTTGTGTGTCAACTTGGCTAGGCTTGGTTGAGTGGTTAGGCAGCTGGTTGTAGTATTCCCCATGATGAGACTGCTAATAAACTCCATGGTGAAATCTACTGGGAGCAGCTGAGTAGCTGCCTTTGTGTATGAGGTTTGCTTCCTGTATATAAGGAGAAGCTTTGAGAATGGTCTCTAGCCTTTGGCCTGCTTGGACTCTGCATGTAGCTGTGTCATTGTTCAGTAGTCTGCCATGCTTTGCTGACCTTGGGACTTACAATGGACTTGAATTAATGGCCTGCCATGTGGTTTGGTAACATCAGGACTGTGCCATTTTATTTGTCAACCTTGGGCTTGTTAGCCTCAGCAGCCAGTAGCTGCCTGAGTGAAGAGATGCCTCTAGTTTCAGTGGGTCAGCAGCAAATGGCAGAGCTGAAGGCCAAGGCTGAGGGGCTTTCACCAGCACCTAGAGCCTGACACTT